CGCCTAGGAGAACCCGCCGGAGGATCTCCCGTTTCTCAGCATGTGCGATTCCGCATGCGTGCGTGCGTGCCGGGAGGAGTGTAGACGTCGACTAGGCCAGCGGAGAGGAGTTTTCCGCGCGGGATTTTCTCACACGGCTAACGACCCGAACTGTCCGTCTGTCTCTCTGTCTGTCCGATCGGCGAACACTTACTGTAACGAGAGTTTTTACCGGTCGTTTCGCGACTGTAAACGCGGACGAGTAAGTGTGCGAGCGATCAAAACTTCAGAATCGCGCGCCATTACCGGGGACGACTAATGATCGGGAAATCGACGAGCGCTCGGGCCCTTTTCTACGTGTTTCGTCGCTCACGTACCTTCTCTCTTCCTCTCGGGAGCGGCTCTTCGAATATGCGTGTGTATGTGTAAGATGTACTTTTACTTTTATATACATTACAGCTGCTGTGTGACGGTTGTACGGAACTATCACGAGCTTGAGATAAGAGCGCAGAGAATGTGACGTGAATCGTGCTAGAAGCAAGTGTTTCGGATATTTTCTGTATTAAAAAAAAAAAAAACATCGTGTAGATATGCATTGTGCCATAGATACGCATTGAATCATGGAGCAACGTGGCATATTTATCGCTTGCCGCGGATTTCGACTTCGTCACAGTGGTGGAAATCGAATAGCAGGGCGTATCGTCGCAGCGAATACCTATACAATCGAAGAATGTAGCGCGAGAGAGTGGACTTTTTATTTAAAAAAGTGAATTATTTATTTAAAAAAAAAATACATATATATATATGTACGTAGAAAAAGAGGAAAAAGTGTGGAAATATCTATGACAGTTTCAATTTCGAAGATCGAACTGCCAGCGCAGAAACGATTTGGCACGCCGCACGTGTCCGATCAGGCATCACGCACATTCGTGACAGCTCACTCGTTCAAGTCCGCACAGCAATTACAGTCGTGGAACATTTCTTTCTCTCTCTCTCTCTTTCCCGAGTGTTCTTGACAGTATCTCAGTACATTCGCGCGATCTCGATCCGTCGCGGAGTTAAATCGAAGTGAGACGAACGCGGAGGAAAGACGAGGATAGGAGCCGCGGACGGCGGAATCCTGCGTTCGAGCGGGCCGATCGGACGATTCGCAAACAATATAATTGTTAATTATCGCGCTGTACATTTAATACAGCATCCCGACGAAGCGGCGCGACGGACAGTGAGCGAGCGTGCGAGCAAATCGCGCTCGCGCACGCAAAAACCACCTCGGCCTTTAATTAAAACTCCCTTTGAACGGTTTCATAACAGAGTACCTCCGTGCGCTTCATAAGAACAAGCTAATTAAGACAGCTCGGAAACGGAGATCGATACAGTCTCAGGGAGCGAGCGAGAGAGAGAGAGAGAGAGGGAGAGAGGAGGAGGGAAAAGAGAGATTCCAAACCCTGAACGAGAAAAGAATAAAAAAGAAAAGGAGACAAAAAAATTAAACACGTATCGGACAACCTCTCTCTCTCTCTCTCTCTCTCGCGCGCGCACGTGTGTTCGCGCCGGTTAATTGGAAAACGCGCACGGAAGTCACGAAGGTGATCGACACGCGATCGTCTCTTTTTTTGGCGCGACGCACTAAGATACTCAACACGGAGGGGTCGCGAAAAAGAAGGGCCGGAAGGGGGG